GGAATATTCTGTTGGTTGATACGATTGTTATTAGGTTAGGAAATTCAAGGGCTGCAGATTACTGTACATAATATATGTTTTTTTGTCTATTTTTAATTGTTTGATTTTGATACTTTCTCAACTCTATATATTCAACATGTATATTCATTTTATGGACATTGAAAAGAGAATGAATACAAAGTTTCAATCTCTAGAAATTAATCTATGCAATTCCTTCTTGTATTTACTAGCTTAAACATCTTAGATGGGCCCGTTTGGTAGCCATTAATTTTCCCCGGAAATGAATTTTTCGACCGTTTTTCCCAACATATCTGACATCGCACATGAATGTGTACTGGCATCCAAAATTTTCATTTCGTCCAACTGCCCCTCCCATTGAAGCAACTCTCTCTCTCTCTTCCCTACCATTTCCACAAAGAATCAAACAGCCCCTCCCACCGATAGCACTCTCTCCCTCCTTTCGATCGATACAGGCAACCTCACCAGATACAGCTTCTCTGCCTTACACACAGCCCTGGCCGCGAACATTTGTGACACTCGCCACAACCAATGTTGACGAAAAAGGCCTCAACGTCAACCTCTACGACCGAATCTGTACCCTGCACAAGATATTCGGCACCGACTTTCTCTATCGACTGAACATGGATCGTGCTGGAAATCAGCTATAATCACTTCGTTCCCACTTTTTCCCACACTTTCAATCAATTTTGCTTCATTATTTCCTAACGACCCTTAACACTTTGTAGCTGGGCGCGGGCAAACAATGTCCGTCTAAAGCCGCATTCTGAAATGCACGGGGATCTGGGTCGAAAACCTATGTGCGCTAGAGCCCGAACTTAAATTGGGCCTTTATAGCTTCCTGCAAAATGACCATAGCAGAGGGACACCAGAACGGCCGGTGTTTCACCAAACATGACTGGGAACGCGTGGCTGGCCTCTTCAACTCCGTCACCGGGCATAGTTGGAGCAAGCAGCAGTTGCGAAACCATTAAGACGGAATGCGGTGAACCCACAAACGTTTGTCGGAGCTTGTGAACAGCAGCGAGGTGGAACACGATGAAGCCACCGCCACATCGTCGCGTCGGACGAATGGTGGAGCCGGAAGCTCAAGATAACGTCTCACACCTTCACTGATTCGATAAACCCTTGAATTTGTAAAGAATAATGTACATTCGGCCACTTTACTGTACTACCAATCTGCTGCCCTTAACAAACTATACCCAATTCCTTCGTTAACTTGAACCCGCTCGAATTGATTGAGACGAATTGATCATTTCCCCCAACTGCTTCGAATAATTAGCAACAAATGTGCATGAATGATGAATTGTGTTGTAATTTCTACTGGAATTCACTGCAAAATCTTAATGGGTTGGAATTGGTTTCTGTTAATTACTGGGTTTTCCCTTCCTCACCGAACATGGACTTCATAAATTAATCGGTTGTATGGTTGTTGCATTTACATGTCACACTTTGTTGATGTGAAAAAATAGAATAATGTCGTTGTCATGTAAAAATTCATTCTGTTGCTGTTATCAGTTTCGGACTTCATAACGTTACTATCTTAAAAGTTTTTTTTTTTGGGAATGCTTACACTGTGGTTTCTTGTTCCTCTTCGACGCATTAGGGAACACCATTAATTCTCAAAACTATATATGCTTCAACATACCGCGAATAGTGTTCGTTATTCATTGGCATGTCCAATTGAAATTATGTATCGACCTACTAGCTAATATTTCTAAAAATTGGAAACATAACGCAACAAAAATCGTCAATTTTTTTAGGAAAATAATAAGCTTGTTTCAATTCTCCTGTCGAAGCACAATGAGTCGGGAATAGGTTATCATGCGTATTCTCATGTCTCGCATTTTATTTGTCTTTACGCATTCCAAATTTCATTGTATACTGATACTCTAACTACTGAACCCATGCTGTGCAGGAGAACAAGGAGTACAAAGACTTCAAGGACAAGGACATGAGCGAGATCGATATTCAGTATCATCAGCTGTTCGGGGATAGCTATGACGGAGACAAATATGCCGTCACTCCTATAAAATTATGCAAAACGAGATTCGACCCCTACGAGGACAGTGCGGTAGAAGACAACAGAGACGCTATTCCAGTTGACATCCAGAGCAGTGGTTCGAGCAATGAGGTTGAACCAACAAATGCCGGGGTACGTGCAAACGTTTTCACAACCACAAGTGGTAGCAAACAAAAATCTTCGGACGAACAGAGAAGAGTACGGAAGAAAAAAAGTCTACCATAAACTATCTTTGTCAGTTGACCATGCCATGAATGTCGAGGAGGAAGTGGCGGCGAAGATTAACACGATAATGGCCACAAACGAAAGTGCCGATGCTGCCTGTGTTGAAGAGCTATTGTTTTAACAACCACAAGTGGTAGCAAACAAAAATCTTCGGACGAACAGAGAAGAGTACGGAAGAAAAAAAGTCTACCATAAACTATCTTTGTCAGTTGACCATGCCATGAATGTCGAGGAGGAAGTGGCGGCGAAGATTAACACGATAATGGCCACAAACGAAAGTGCCGATGCTGCCTGTGTTGAAGAGCTATTGGCGACAGGACGGCTCCAGCGACGGACTCCCATGTACTTCTTCGCCTGTGTGCTTCTTGCACATAAGCGTTACCAGGACATGCCCTCCATCGTGAGCAAGGCGGATGAGAAATTTTAAGTGGATCGAGTGGATGTTTAACGATTGAGGAAAGTAATGAAGCTAGTAGTCCTTTTTTTCTATGCTTTGTTAAGTAATCGTGAAAACTGCCTTTTTTTTTCCTTCTTTTGTTAAGTAATGGCCAAAACTATCTTCTTTTTTCCATACTATCGTCTCAGCGTTGTAATTTATGAGCTTTACTTTTTCCTATGGTAGTCTAAACGTTCTCACGTATCATGCTTCATTATTTTCCTGCACTGCGTACAAAATTTCCACTCTATGCTATAGGCAAACGTAGGCCTGAACATAATGGGTAGGACAAGTTTGTCATGTTCACATTTTGTCAAAGTTTGTCACGTTATCATGTCACTGTCAAAGAAAGAATAATTTTAAGTGAAAGTGAATAATTTATGTGCTTTACTTTTCCCTACAGTAGTCTAAACATTCTCACGTAGTGTGCTCCATTATTTTCCTGCACTGCATACAAAATTTTCACTCTTCGTTATAAGCAAATGTAGGCCTGAACATAATGGGTAGGACAAGTTTGTCACTTCACATTTTGCCAAAGTTTGTCATGTTATCATGTCACTGTCAAAGAAATAATAATTTTAAGTGAAAGAGAAGCCATGGCCCCAGTCTGAAAAAGGAGGTGTGTGCACGTTGTAAGGCCACAGATTTCAAACCTTGCATGCAACATAGAATAATTGCGTGTGTTGTGGTAACTATGCATGCAAAAGCTCTATAAATTCCCACGAAGAAAGGCATTGAGCATAAGTGAGAGCTTTGTGAGGCTCTGACATTTAAGATTTATTTTTCAGCTTTTAAGAAAGAAAGGTTGTGATACTACAAACATTTAAGATGTTTGCCAGCACAAATGGTCTTAACTTAAACCGCGTCCTGTTGTCGAGATTCGACGAGGAGGAGGACATGGACGAATGGGAGTTCCTCAACCAGTTGGCAGCCGATGCAACTACATGGGTCAGATATTGCAGAATCTCGAAAAGTGAAGCACAGTAATACTTTAGGCGATAACGACGTCGTGTCCAACGATTTCCATTCGCAAGAAACGGTCAAATGTTCATGATGGAGGCAATGAGCGAGAATGGGCAGATGTGCTTTCGAGATTTCGTATGTATCCCCCAATGCTGCGACATTTCGCACATGTATTGCGTAATGAGCATGGCCTTCGAAGTAGTCAGCAAATAGACATCTACGAGCAAGTTTACATGTTTCTAAGCATACTCACATACGGAAAGGGATATCGACATGTGACAACATTGTTCAACCATTCGTTACCAACCGTGTGTCACTACATCAAAGAGGTCCTACATGCGGTGGTTGCGATTTCCACGCGTATGATTATGCCAACTCCAAAATACAACGAAGGT